TACTGTCTTTTGGGAAGAGAAACTGGTGTCTTTGTAATGTACAGAAAGTGAGATGTGATGTTATGTGTAATGACACTGGCATTTTCTGTATTACTTTTGTAAATTCCTTAATAAAAATTATTGGAAAAAAAAAAGATTAAAATGAAAAAAATCATAAAAAAATAAGGATGTGCAAATCACTTCTCCAAGACTGACAACTGATTTGGTCATTCCACAACAATCAAATGTTCTCTGTGGATCGCCAATTCACTCCAATTCAACAAATAGGTAAAGAGAGGCCGCCTGTACAGAAAGCCTGGACCTGGAGCCACTTTGCTGAGCAGAAGTTATCAACTTCCTTTACCCTAGGTTCACACCTAAGCATTTTCTGCAGCGTTTTGCAGAAACAGATTTCCTTCCTTCTTTCCTTACATCTGAGTGTTTTTTGGAAAGGGTCAGTGACTTTTTTGAATGCAAAACGTTGCGTTTTTGGTTCTATAACTTCAATGAGAACACTGCAGAAAAGCATGTATTGCATTTTTGCTGCGTTTTTGATGCATTTTTGCATTTAATACCTACCTAGCAACAAGAAAATTTTTTTGAAAAATGCAAAACGCGGCAAAAACGCAAAGCGCACAGCAAAAAGCACTGAAATGGATCAAATGCAACCTGCATAGGTGTGAACCTAGGCTTAGGGGCTATGGCATTACATGGGTTGTGGTGGTCTTTAACCCCCTGAATTTATTGTAAATAACTTCATGATTCTCACTGGACTCCACTTAAATTGATAACAAGAGGTATGGAGTGGGGGCATCCCAGGAAATATATGTAAGGTATGTATGGCAGTCCATACAATAGTTATTTTTTTCCTTCATCCAGCGGGTTGAACAAAAAAAATTCATTTCAATGTGTGGATGGGGGAATTACTCCTGATGAGCTATTGTGGTCTGACAGTGGGGGGGTCTGAGAAAACAGGATCAAACTGCCTTTGATTAACCCTTTAGGTTCTGCAGTGAGTATAACAAGCATGCTTTACTGCATATAAAGACTGATACATTTTACTGTTGTGGGTTTAGTAACATTTAGTAACTTCATTTGGCATACCCTGACAGGTTCTTTACATCAGAGTCCATCTCATTACATCTTATATCAGAGTTCCCCCCATAAATCAGGGTTTCCAGAGAGCCTCCCTTACATCAGAGTACCCAGAGTTCCCCTTTACACTGGATAATCTGATGTAAAGGAGAACACTGTGAACTCTAGTGTAAAGGGGAACTCTAATGTAAGGGGGCCTCTGGTTACCATCATTCCCAGAGTCTAGCTTACATCACAGTCCTCAGAGATCTCACATCAGAATTCGCAGAGTTCCCCCTTAAATAAGAGTCCCCCTTTATACACACTGTAAAAGGGAACTCTGATGTAAGGGGGGACCACCAGAGACCCCCGTACATCAGAGTTCCCCTTTGTATACACTGTAAGGGAGACAATGACAAAAGGGGGATCTCTGTGGACTGTGGTGTAAGGGCCTCTGATATGAGGGAGTCTCTGGTCACCACAGAAATCCCACTTACATCAGTTACCCTGTACCCCAGAGTCTGCAGAGTTCCCCTTTAAACCAGAGTGCCAGAGAATAGGTATATCTAAAAGAGGGTCAGGTCAGCCATGGCAGCCCCATAATAGCATCTGCAGAGTCTTTTACTTTACTTCCCCCCCCCCTTCAGTATGTATAAGCAGTGCCCTCCCCTCCATGGAACTAGGAATCCTAGCATAGCGCAATGGGCTCTCATTTCTCAGCTGCTCCCCAGTGCCCCCCCATACAACATGACTGAGCATGATTACATGAGAAAACACGTTATCTCCCTGGCTGCTGCAGTGACACACACTGCCAGAGTCTGTGCCCCTCATCTTCCACTCTCTCCTCAGTGACCCAGCGAGTCCCCCTCACCTTAGTTGGCTCCATTGTCTGCAGGGCAGAAAATGGGAGGCGAGGCACTCGGAGGCAGAGCAGGGAGGAGAAAGTTACAGCCTCCTCCTCTGCCGGGGCCTGTGCTTGCTCTTGATTGGTTGTTAGGACGCTGTGTGGTCCTAGCAATGAATAATTTTCAAAGCAATGGACACTGGGCAGAGGTAGGCAGCAGCTCACCCTCTCATTGTGCTCCTCTGATGTAGGAAGGACTTGACTCAATTAATTCTTGCCTTAGGTCAATCATACATGGATCGAAGTTCAGCCAATTCAAGCTAAATTTCAATCCATGTATGGGCAGGGAGGTTGTACAAAGTTGATCTACCAATCTAATTCTGTACAACCGCCATGTCAGGATTTTTTGTTAAAAATAGCAAACATGTTATACTTGCCTGCTTTGTGCAATAGATTTGCAGAGTGGCACTGATCTTCCTCTTCTGGGGTCCCCCGCAGGTACTCCTAGTTCCTCCTCGCCTCAGTGTGCTACCATAGGAAGCAACTTCCTATAGTGGCACATCTGCGGGTTCGATCCCAAGCCATGCTGCCTGCATCCATAGATACAGACAGTGTGGCGCAGCCTCGCCACCACCAAGGGATTTGACTGACAGCAGCAGGACAACGATGGTTTCCATTGCCTCAGTAAAGCCTGTGAGAGCGGGAAGAACTGCTAGAAACTGGTGCAGCGGTGAATTGAATGAGGGCTCAGGTAAGTATAGGGGGGGGGGGGGGGGGTGAGGGTGTGAAATTATTACCTAAACATATTTTACCCTAACCCAGGGTATGGATTAATGTAAAAAATGTTTAAGCTTTAGAGCCACTTTAATTCAGATTTCTTTCCCCGAGGCAGGTCTCTCAGGACCCCGATCATACCAGCAGAGATAGTATACAGACAGCCACCCCAGCCAAAAGGCCAGAATGACTGTGGAGCAAACCTACTTGATAAGAACAGATATTACTGTCAGGGCTCCCGGGTATGACCAGAGGTGTGTGACTGACGCAGGGAAACGCAGACTTCAGATATGTTATAAACAATACGATTTATTAACACTAACAATACAAACATAAACGCAGTGCAATACTAAACATAATACAGTGCAAACAAACCCAACCAACCATCCACAGATACCAGTACAAACAATGCAAGCCTCGTCAGGCAGGCCGGGTCAATATCAATCGGGCAGGTAGGTACAGGGGGAGCAAGCGGAGAATGGTCGGGGTCACAAGCCAGGGTCAGCAGGTAGCGGGCAGCGTGGTACAGAGTGTCAGGCAGAGGGATGGTCAGGAACGAGCCGGGGTCAGAGCAGGAGAAGTCAGCAGAGGTATAGATCAGGCCGGGTCAGCAACAAGACAGGAACAGGAATAGGAACAGGAACAGGAAGCAGGAACAGGATAGGGGGCCCAGGAAAAACATACACCAAGGCAGAGTCTGCAGGTCTGGCCATCCCTTAAATACACCAGCATAAGCAGTTTCAGGTGTTTTGCTGGCTGCAAGGTTGAGTCTCTGATTGCTGGGAGCACCCGTTGGCCAGCCCTGGTACTGCAGCTCATAAGGCCGGTGAGTCCCACCATTGCTGGCCAGTCCATTCCTGACAGTACCCCCCCCTCAAGGAGCGGCCTCAGGACGCTCCAAACAGTCCTAGCTGGGCAAAATGTTCCACCGCCCGGGTCTGGTAACTGGCGGGATATCAAAGACTGGCCCACCGGGCAGGACTCCGGGCAGCGGCACACCGGGCAGGACTCCGGGCAGCGGCACACCGGGCAGCGGCACACCGGGCAGCGGCACACCGGGCAGGGCACACCGGGCTGGACTCCGGGCAGGGGCACACCGGGCTGGACTCCGGGCAGGGGCACACCGGGCTGGACTCCGGGCAGGGGCACACCGGGCTGGACTCCGGGCAGCAGGGGCACACCGGGCTGGACTCCGGGCAGGGGCACACCGGGCTGGACTCCGCGGGGGGCACACCGGGCTGGACTCCGGGCAGGGGCACACCGGGCTGGACTCCGGGCAGGGGCACACCGGGCTGGACTCCGGGCAGGGGCACACCGGGCTGGACTCCGGGCAGGGGCACACCGGGCTGGACTCCGGGCAGGGGCACACCGGGCTGGACTCCGGGCAGAGGCACATCGGGCTGGACTCCGGGCAGAGGCACATCGGGCTGGACTCCGGGCAGAGGCACATCGGGCTGGACTCCGGGCAGAGGCACATCGGGCTGGACTCCGGGCAGAGGCACATCGGGCTGGACTCCGGGCAGAGGCACATCGGGCTGGACTCCGGGCAGAGGCACATCGGGCTGGACTCCGGGCAGAGGCACATCGGGCTGGACTCCGGGCAGAGGCACATCGGGCTGGACTCCGGGCAGAGGCACATCGGGCTGGACTCCGGGCAGAGGCACATCGGGCTGGACTCCGGGCAGAGGCACATCGGGCTGGACTCCGGGCAGAGGCACATCGGGCTGGACTCCGGGCAGAGGCACATCGGGCTGGACTCCGGGCAGAGGTACATCGGGCTGGACTCCGGGCAGAGGCACATCGGGCTGGACTCCGGGCAGAGGCACATCGGGCTGGACTCCGGGCAGAGGCACATCGGGCTGGACTCCGGGCAGAGGCACATCGGGCTGGACTCCGGGCAGAGGCACATCGGGCTGGACTCCGGGCAGAGGCACATCGGGCTGGACTCCGGGCAGAGGCACATCGGGCTGGACTCCGGGCAGAGGCACATCGGGCGGACTCCGGGCAGAGGCACATCGGGCTGGACTCCGGGCAGAGGCACATCGGGCTGGACTCCGGGCGAGAGGCACATCGGGCTAGACTCCGGGCAGAGGCACATTGGATCACCAGGCGACGCGGCAGGCAGCGGGCCACCAGGCGGAGCGGCGGGCAGCGGGCCACCAGGCGGAGCGGCGGGCACCGAGCCCCCAGGCGGGGCGACGGGCACCGGGCCCCCAGGCGGGGCGACGGGCACCGGGCCCCCAGGCGGGGCGACGGGCACCGGGCCCCCAGGCGGGGCGACGGGCCCCCAGGCGGAGCGGCGGGCGCCGGACCCCCAGGCGGAGCGGCGGGCGCCGGACCCCCAGGCGGAGCGACAGGTCTCGGGCCCCCAGGCGGAGCGGCGGGCACCGAGTCACCAGGCACGACAGTGGGCTCCGAGTCAACTGGCAAGACTGCGGGCACCGAGTCAACTGGCAAGACTGCGGGCACCGAGTCAACTGGCAAGACTGCGGGCACCGAGTCAACTGGGAAGACTGCGGGCACCGAGTCGTCTGGCGGAACAGCGGGCACAGAGTCGTCTGGCAAGACTGCGGGCACCGAGTCGTCTGGCAAGACTGCGGGCACCGAGTCGTCTGGCAAGACTGCGGGCACCGAGTCAACTGGCGGAACAGCGGGCACCGAGTCGTCTGGCAAGACTGCGGGCACCGAGTCGTCTGGCAAGACTGCGGGCACCGAGTCGTCTGGCAAGACTGCGGGCACCGAGTCGTCTGGCAAGACTGCGGGCACCGAGTCGTCTGGCAAGACTGCGGGCACCGAGTCGTCTGGCAAGACTGCGGGCACCGAGTCGTCTGGCATTGGATCGTCTGGCTCGACAGCGGGCATCGGGTCACTAGGTATGACAGCGGGCACTGGGTCACCAGGCATCAGGTCATTTGGCTCGCCAGCGGGCACCGCGTCATCTGGCAAGGCAGTGGGCACCGAGTCACCAGGTACGACAGCGGGCTCTGAGTCAATTGGCACGACAGCGGGCACCGGATCAGGTACCGGATCATCTGGATCAACAGCGGGCATCGAGTCAACTGGCCTAATAGGATCATCAGGCTGGATCAGTTCATTATGCTGGGTAGAAAGCATCCGGCTGAGTAGAGGCATCCGGCTGAGTAGAGGCTTCAGGCTGAGTGGAGGCTTCAGGCTGAGTGGAGGCTTCAGGCTGAGTGGAGGCTTCAGGCTGAGTGGAGGCTTCAGGCTGAGTGGAGGCTTCAGGCTGAGTGGAGGCATCAGGCTGAAGAGAGGCATCAGGCTGAAGAGAGGCATCAGGCTGAAGAGAGGCATCAGGCTGAAGAGAGGCATCAGGCTGAAGAGAGGCATCAGGCTGAACCACGGAAGGCAGGTTCTCGGACGGCAGGCTGACCGGTTTGGATACTGGCAGGATGGTATTGGTTGGAAAGAATTTTAGCGGTTTTCTGGTTTTAACTACTGTGGCACTGCAAGTAAACGCAGGTCTGCAAACGAATGGAGCAGCTGGAGACAGAGAAGAGCTAGAGGATGGAACAGTCGCTACAGAGGGCTTCTTTACAGGGTTAAAGGCAGGATAGGTAAAGCGAGTGGGAACAGGGTACTGACATGCGGTAGATAGCCAAGTATACTGGGCTGTAACTGGAGGAGTTGTTGGGAATACAGGAGTAGAGCTTTGAGGAAATAGATTAGAAGCAGGACTGGGACTTTGTAAGCTGACTGAGGCTGGGTGTAACAAATCTGTCCATGTCTGCAGTATGGGTTGAACAAAGCTGAGCTTACACAAAGCCTGTCTGACCAAAGACTGCACTGCGTTTATACAATCTCTTAGTACCTGTGGTGAACATGTGGAATAACGCTCCAGAAAGTAACCCACATCGTCCTCTAATAACCACACCAGGGACTCTACCTGGTCTGCACTAAATGGTGGCAAAAATTCATCCCTGCATTCGGGGGTACCAGATGAAACCAACTCAGCACAAACCTCAATCAATGGCTGCACCTCAGAGAATTCTGTGCCCTGATCTACTAGAACATGAGCGACCCGTATACATTCTAGCAGTTCATCCCGGGTATACTCCTTCAGAGTTTGATAAGCATACTCCCTGTCATCAAACACTAGCAGATATAAATACGCAACCTCATCCAGATCCATCCTTCCCATCAACAAACCAAGATGGCTTCCCTGTGCAGCCACTTCTGGTCAGGATTGGCCTTGGTGTAATGTCAGGGCTCCCGGGTATGACCAGAGGTGTGTGACTGACGCAGGGAAACGCAGACTTCAGATGTTATAAACAATACGATTTATTAACACTAACAATACAAACATAAACGCAGTGCAATACTAAACATAATACAGTGCAAACAAACCCAACCAACCACCCACAGATAACAGTACAAACAATGCAAGCGTCGTCAGGCAGGCCGGGTCAATATCAATCGGGCAGGTAGGTACAGGGGGAGCAAGCGGAGAATGGTCGGGGTCACAAGCCAGGGTCAGCAGGTAGCGGGCAGCGTGGTACAGAGTGTCAGGCAGAGGGATGGTCAGGAATAAGCCGGGGTCAGAGCAGGAGAAGTCAGCAGAGGTATAGATCAGGCCGGGTCAGCAACAAGACAGGAACAGGAATAGGAACAGGAACAGGATACAGGGCCCAGGAAAAACATACACCAAGGCAGAGTCTGCAGGTCTGGCCATCCCTTAAATACACCAGCATAAGCAGTTTCAGGTGTTTTGCTGGCTGCAAGGTTGAGTCTCTGATTGCTGGGAGCACCCGCTGGCCAGCCCTGGTACTGCAGCTCATAAGGCCGGTGAGTCCCACCATTGCTGGCCAGTCCATTCCTGACAATTACACTTGATCTTAGTGCAGTTCACATTGCACACATTATTTGCTGTGAGCTGTGAATTAGATCAGTGTTTATCAACTTTTTTTCAGCCAATGCACCATTTATAATTTTAACGCCCTCCAGGTTAATTAGATAGGAGTTTTTTGTTAGATAGAGGCTGAGTAGCCCATCCTTCCAGAAACTGGAGAACTTCTGGAACAGGGGAGGAGGCCCAGATCTGCATGTTTGAGGGACCTTGGCCAATCCCATGGCAGGAGACTAGGCATGGTGACCAGGGTAGCCCTCAAATATCACAGAGCCTGGAGAGCAGGGAGAGTGTCGGGTGGAAGATGAACTGAGAGGAAGGCTGGAGTGTTGAGCCTGGGAGGGGGCCACAGAGAGGGAAGCCTGCCTACAGGCAGGATGCTGGATGGGAGGATTTCTACTGCCTCAACGTCTCCTTGGGAGGACAACCTGTAAGCAAGGAAAGAGCCAGCCCAGCGTAAGGCTTGAAGGCAGCCACCAACCCACCACACTAGCAGGTGAGGACACAGTGTGAGTCCTCCTACACCCCCTGGGTCAGATAAGCACAGACATGGTCACGTGCAATACCCAACTAGTCTTCATCTGGGGCTGCTTAACTGCAAGAGCTCTTGGGACCCCTTTGCTCAGGGATACCCTCAGTACAGCTAGTTGGAGAGGAGGATTCAGTCAGGGTCTGAGGAGGTACACCAAAAAGGATTGTAGCATTCCTTAACAGTGCCTTTTGCTATTTTTCCTGCTTGTTCACATTCTTGTACAAAGTTACTAAGAAATTCGGCCTAGATTTTTCACAGTTCCTTGGGCATCTCATATGCCCCTAGAACCCCTTAATAAAAACTAAAAAAACAGCTCAAGGACTGTTTAATGACTCTCAAGGTACAAGTCTGGAAAATACATGTTGCCTGGCTGTGCAGAGCATAGGTGGACCCAAAAGAAATCCAGCGGCCCTTACGAGGGTAGTGCTACATAATTATGCACATTGTTGGGGCACCCCATTCTAAAATTTTAAAAACGAAGCTAATGGTTTAACATATCGTAACAGCATCCACACACGTAGAACACTTAACATTAGAGGTAATTTATTCCTCCACTTTTGCACAATGGTGCTGACTAATATTCCAGCGTTTCTCTTCCCCCTCAAAATACACCACATGAACTTTGGGGAGTATCACCAGGCCCGGACTGGCGATAGGGCGCACTGGGTATTTGCCCAGTAGACCGGGGCTGCCTGCATAGGACAGGCTGCTGGGCGGCACATAGAGGACTGTGCATTTCTCGGCTGCCTCTCCAGCATGCAGTCAGCTCCTGTATGCTCCCTCATCTCCTCCAGCGCTGCAGAGGATCTGTCAGCATATTCTAAGCCCAGTGCTGACAGCCTCCTTTCTTTTTAATACTTTCTCTCTCTGTCTCCTATTTCTCTCCTTTCCTTTCTCTCTGTCTCCTATTTCTCTCCTTTCCTTTCTCTCTGTCTCCTATTTCTCTCCTTTCCTTTCTCTCTGTCTCCTATTTCTCTCCTTTCCTTTCTCTCTGTTTCCTGTTTCTCTCCTTTCTCTTTAATACTTCTCTCTCTGTGTCTACTATTTCTCTCCTTTCTTTCTCTCTCTCTCCTTTCTTTTTCTCCTATTTCTCTCCTTTCTTTTTCGTTCTCTATCTCCTGTTTCTCTCCTTTTCTTCTGTCTCCTGTTTCTCTTTCTTTCTTTCCCTCCATTCCCTCTCCTTCCTTTCTTTTTTGCCTCCTTCTATACATCTCTTTTTCTCTATCTCTGTGTCTCCTGTTTCCCTCCTTCCTTCTTTCTATACAACTCTTTCTTTCCCTCCTTCTATATGTCTTGCATTCTTTCTCTCGGTCTCCTTCCTTCCACTCTTTCCCTCCTTCCTTTTTTTCCTCCTTTCTTTCTTTTCATCTTTCCCTCCTATACGTCTCGTTCTCTCTGTCTCCTGTTTCTCTCCTTCCTTTTTCTTTCCCTCCTTCTATACGTCTCTTTTCCTCTCTGTCTCCTGTTTCCCTCCTTCCTTCTATACGTTTCTCTTTTGCTCTCTCTTGTATCCTGTTTCTCTCCTTCTATACATCTCTATTTCTCTGTCTCCCTCCTTCCTTCTTTCCCTTTGTCTATACATCTCTTTTTCTATCTCTGTTTCCCTCCTTCCTTCTTTCTATATGTCTCTCTTTTGCTCTCACTCTCTGTCTCCTGTTTCTCTTTTCTTTCTTTGCATCCTTCCTTCTTTCCCTCCTTCCTTCATATATGTATCTTTCTTTCTCTCTGTCTCCTGTTTCTCTTTTCTTTCTTTGCATCCTTCCTTCTTTCCCTCCTTCCTTCATATATGTATCTTTCTTTCTCTCTGTCTCCTGTTTCCCTCCTTCCTCTCCTTCTTTCCAGCCTTCCTTCTCTGTCTCCTGTTTCCCTCTTTCCTTACATTTCTTTTTCTTTCTCTCCGTTTCCTTCCTTCCTTCATTCTTTCCCTCCTTCCTATATATCTCTCTTTCTTTCTCTCACACTCTGTCTCCTGTTTCTCTCTTTCTTTTCCTCTCCCTCCTTCTTTACGTCTTTCTTTCTCTCTCTGTCGTTTCCCTCTGTCAGAGCCTGGGTCTGAACCTGGGCCTTCTGCAGTGAGTGGCAATGTTTCTTCTCGCTGAGCCACCTGGAATGCTGAACAGCTCCCTTGACAATTATTTGGATGATCCTACCTTGACCTTGTTTATCTTGAACCCCTTGCTCCTCCCATGAACTTCCTGATATAAGCCATGTCTCTGCATATCCTGTTTGCCAGATTATTGTGCTCCTTATCATCTCTGCTGCTCTGTATTTTGCTATCACTCGTTATTGACCCTTGGCTTGTTCTCGATTATGCTTCTGCCTGATCCCAACCTGCGACTGCTCCTTACCGACCTTGGCTTGGAGCTATCCTGTCTCAGCGAAGTGATGAAAAAAAATGCAGCTTCATCCTTGTGCCTACTTCTCTCGTTTGATGTCCACAGCTGAAAAGAATTACGACATTGGGAATAAAGAGTTACCAGCAATTAAGGAAGCCTTTTCTGAATGGAGGCATCTGCTAGAAGGGGTTAATCATCCTGTAACTGTTCTCACTGACCATAAAAATCTGGAATTCATTCGCTCGGCCAAGAGATTGTCTTCTAGACAAGCACGTTGGTCTTTATTCTTTTCCAGATTCAATTTTATTATATCACATCAACCTGGATCGAGG